CAGTTTTGAAAAAGAAAAAAGGGAGTGGTGGGGAACGACCCCTCAGAATATTTTCTCCTGAGACTAGTTTTCTACCCCAAATTAAGCCTAAGGTATGTTCTTGAGGTTCTTGTCTTCACAGAAAATAGAAAATGGCATTGGTTATAGTGTTCCTGACCTTTTTTTGCCTGGATGGTATGTTTAGGGTCATTTGCATGCATCTCTCCAAAAAGCACATTGTATAAACTTGTAAATTTTATCAGATGCTGTAAGTATTTTCCATATCGATTTGGTTGCAGCTGTCTTGGCCACCTGTAGTCGGTGCCAGAGTATTTTTGATAGTACTGCCCTCCTCCCCCTTTTGTGAGTTTCATTAAACAATTGGACCAAGCAAGCTTCTTAAGAGAGTTTTGTAGTCAGAATGTTTGGAGATAGGCTTGAAGCCAGTCAATCAAAATACTATTTCACTTTTCTGTTGTTTTGTCTTTTATATGTTTTTCCTCTTTAGCTTACTGCTGTTCAGTGGCAAAAGAAATTTCCTTGTCCTGTCCTGAGTAAAATGGAAAATTTAAGCAGCCATTGATCTAGTCAGAAGAGAATTATTTGAATTATTACTATGTCAGCTTTTTAGACGATACTGTGAAGATCAATAGCAGGATTCAGCTCTCCCTTGTGTCCATCTCTGCTAGTAGAAGTGTTAATAATGGCATGAAAATAGAGGTTAACACTTAAAGAAAAATGTTCCCTTCTTTTCCATAGTCTTTCTGTGTTGTAATTTCTTGCCAACCTCATAGTTCCTTTGTTGAATTAACAAAAACAATAGTTGGCTTATTGGTTTTAAATGTCTGTGCATTAATGCATTTCCAGATTAGACAGAGCTAGTATTCCTTTTCTTCTAAACTAAATTGTTGTTTTTTTCTTTTCTGTTCCCAATTCTCCAATCCTTCTTCCACTTCCATCCTTTCCCTGCCCCCATTTTCCCTCTAAAAATATCCTTAGGAATGACTTGCTGATGGTGTGCCGCCAGCTGAATATGGAGGAGTCTGTCGCAGAGATCATGCACCAGCTGGGAGCAGATGAAAATGGAAAAATTTCCTTCCAGGATTTTAGTCAGTGCCGCATGGAACTGGTACGAGAAATCAGGAAGGAGGAAGTGGAGCTTTCTGTGAAATCGGATGACTCTTGTAAAAAGAAAAAGTTAAGGGATAGGATAGCTTCCTGGCCAACTAGCAGCAATAACAGTTTAGGTAGGTATGACTTTTAAATATCCTGTTGGTGTAATTTAACGAAGGATAAATTCCAGGGGTTTTGTTACCAATTTTACTGGCATCAGGATTTCCCCTAAAGGGCTTTGTGAATATGCTGTGGCATAATTTTTTCATATATTAGAGTGCTGTTGTAACTGATGCAGTCTGGTCATCGGTATGTAGACTAGAATGTGTGCAGAACATCCTCTTCGAAAAACCTCTTCGAAAAGTTGCACAAGACAACTATTTTTCTTGAAAGGACAAGATCTGCAGAGCTCAGCTGGTGGCTGAAGATACAGTGAGCTCTTTGTTGCCTCTAAAGCCCAGACAGGTAGGTAGGTAGAAATACTAAAAATGAGGAGAGAGATAACCTTAGTCTCTTGTCTTTCAGATGTGATACACTGTAGGAATATGGATGTTTCTTGGATGCTTTAAAAATCATTCCACTTAGTTCAGGATCTTGAGTGCTGGAAGTGCCTTGTGATTTAGAGAATACAAAAATTCTCCTTTCCTTTTGCCCTCCCTCCACCCAGAAAAAAAAACCCCAAACCCAGACAACCTTGCTATGCCATCTACAGGAACATGGGATGTAGGGATGGAATGTCTGTGTTATTGAGTCCAGTCCTTGATAGCACTGTGATCAGTCGACATTAGATCAGAAATGTTAACACCTACAAAATGCTTCCTTTCACCCTGTAGGAGATGCAAGAGAGCAGAGGATACAACTTCTGTGGTCAAAATTCCTAAAATGCAAGGTACTATGGAAAAAGCTGGGGATGTTGTCAATGCTCTAGCTCCCTAGAGCAGCTGCATACTAGCTAAACATGACTGCTGGCCCATGATCTGGAATTGACCTACATCCATGCTTCAGAAGGCAGCCATCAGCCTCTGATTGTATGTAGAGCTGTGTCCCCTCAACCTTTCATTTAGACTACATGAGCCTAGATTTTTTTTTAAATACTTTTTTAATGAAAGATCCTTCATTAGTGATCCCAACAGTCTTTCTTTGCATGTGTCCTAAATTAAGTTAGGAATATTTTTTTACAGTCAAATATACTTCATGCATCTTCCTCAAGAGCTTGCTTGTCCACATTCTGGCTCCTCATGGAACTGACCTGTTGTCAGAGTCCAGTTCTCTCTGACCAGGTTCTTTTAGATATTCCAAGTGTGTAGGGTGTGCTGTTCAACATCAGATTTACTTATCTGAAGATAGTTGCTGTTACACGGTATTTCTGATTTAGTGAAGTGATACAAAACACACTGAAAACACAATACAAATATAAGTTACACATAGCAGAATATAGCAATTGCAATAGACAGTTCAATCACAGTACCAACGTGATTCCCAGTGTCTCTCTAATATGCCCACCATCATGACACAGAGCATCCCCAGTCTCATATGTGGGTTGAAGGTAGCTCAAGCCCATTGCTCTGTTTGAAATTGTTTTGTTAGTTGTTCATGTTTTTATAGTCTTTATGTTGGGCTGAGCCATGTATACACCTCCCCCGTGCTGGCCTGCCTAATTCAGGGAGACATTCACACTCTTTTAATGAACTCAGGGAGAAACACACCACTGATTGACTCAGCTGTTGATAGCTGTTTACCTAAAGCAAAGACCACCCTCGGGCCAGCTTGGTGTTGAGATCAAGTTGGCTTCTTTGCAAACAGCTGTGATCAGTAAAATCCTGCATTATTCCCTGAGTTTCATTGGCAAGTTACCCTGGCCCATCTCCTCTGAGCCTTCTTCCATGGTACAGGTTTACTGGTCAGTCACACCTGTCTTTATTTTTTCAGTAGTCAGTCTCCTAGAATGTAAAATTTGGCATGTGTTGGTTTTGGGGTTTGGTTTTGTGTTTGGGGTTTGTTTATTTATTTATTTATTGGGGGGTGGGTTTAGCATGTTATTCTCTCTCCTAGTAACTCTGCATGTGTTTTTGGCTGGTCATCTCAGCCATTCAAATTTTCCTTGTTTGCTTTGTAACCCTGGTGATTTCCTTATCCTCTTGCTTTTTAGATTGACTGCACTGCTCCCTCACCATCCCATCATCTCATGCTCATTGGCTTTTGGCTTGGCATAGCAAATCTGTTTCATAGCTCTGTTTATTCTCCATCTCATCTCTTTTACTGCTTCAGTCATATTTTGTCATAGAGGTATTTTGTTGTTAACATTTCCTCTGTTTATCCTTCTTTCATATATATTCTTGAATTGCAAGACGATTAACTCCGTAGTTTCTATGCCCATTTCTCCATCACTGTCTGTACTGTATCATCCTTGGGCTCAATTGTATTTCCAGCCCATGAATCTCTTTCAGGAGCTGTATCAGACAACAGTTAAGAACCAAGATCATGCCTAGTATCTTTTTTTACTGGGTTAAGGGTGGTGTGTGTTCCCTAGCTCATAAAATTATCTTCTGCCTCTGTTGCCTGTTTTTTCAATGCTGCCAGTGTTGTATTTTCCCGCAAAACAGAAAACTCTTCTGCCCTCAGACTGCTGTACAAAGTTTCCCTGTTTGCTGACCAGATTTCTAGCAACTTGGGGTTTAAAATCTTCTTTCTTAGACAGACCAGCCTAATAATTATGGTTTGTAATAATCAAGGCTAAAGACGGGTCTTAAGCTTTACCAGAGAAAGGTCTGCACTAGTCTCAAAATGTATCCCACAAAGAAATCCGTATTAATTGCTGCCAAAAAAGTCATACATGAACATTCAAAATTCTTAATGCATACAATTCAATCCCTACTGTTTTCTTCTATTTTCCAGTTCCTGTTAGTTGTACAAGAGTAATTTAATGCATTTTTAAAGTTGGTGAGTGAATTCATATTTCTTTTCATAACTTTTTTTTCAAAAGTTAAGTCCAGAAGACCTTTGAATTTCCTGCCTTGGTATATTTTGCTCTGTGCTGATGAAGCCTGACTATTTTACCGTACTGTGTTTTTAAACCTATGGGGAATTAATGTTTTTTGTACTTGTCCTGCCTTGACTCTTGCAGATTCTGTAAGACTTTTTAATAATTAGAGAACATATGGAGATGCTTCCCCATGTGAATACAATACAGGGTGGTAGGAAATAATAATAATGAGCCTTTAGAGTGCAACTGGTTTTTATTTGGTTGTAAAAGAAAACCATTGTGGCAGCACTGTTCAAGATGTTCTACAGATTTTTTTTTTTTTTTTAAAGAGTCAAGGAAACACCACTGTAATATATTTCTGTGATATAAACACTGCACAGAGTATGGACATAATGAGAGCTGAGGAATTATACTTGCAGTCAAGCTTGAATTAAAATCTGCATTTGCTTCCATGCCTTTCCTGTCTTTGGGGTCTCACGTATGTACTCACTAGCGATCAAAGAGTTGACTGTCTTGTATTGACTGTTTGCTATTGCTTTCCAAACATTGTTTAAGATGGGAGACATCATCAAACATATAAACTTGGTGGATATTCTTTTTGTGTGTATTTTTTTTTTTTTTTTCCAGAAAAAGAACAGTGTTTTTAATAAACATTATTTTCAAAGATAGTTTACAGGGCTTTTTCAAGGCTAATTTCTACGTAATGTGTCAGCTGCTGATAATCCTTGAAAGCTGTTATCATCTATCCATGTGGGGTGTATAAATTAAAAAATTTCAAAATTCATTAGACTGTCACTGAGTAGCGGGAGTCCTTCTGATCTGGAGCAAAGGAATCCAACCTCTGTCATGATATGTAATTGTGCAGAGATTAGCAGTCAGACGGCATTTTGTGCAGGCTTTTCTTGTGGCTGTTCATAATTTCTTAACAAAGAATGCAAAAACATATGCATATATATAAGTAAAAGATTATATTTGCTACCTATAATTTTTGCATTTCATTATAAAGAAAATAACTGGGAAAAAGGTCCGAAGAAAAATTACATCTAAATGACTATTGAACTTCATCTCACCCATCATTTTTTATTCTAATAGTTTTGCCCAACAAATGTTTCCACTCCTGTGTTTCCAGGTGGGATGCAGAAGTAAGGAAACCAGCTGACTATTTTAGTCAAGGTACAAGACTCAGGTTTATTAATACCCAGTCATACCTGTGCTCAGTAAGCCAAACCTGCCATCCCTATCTATGATCTTGACAATCAAATGAGTGTATAGATTTAAAAGTTTAATCTTTTATTCAATTGCATGAATAAAGACATTTTGCGAGTTATTAGAGTGATGCTTTTTGCTGCTTGGATATCAGCAACTGAAAGCTTTTATAATGTATTGTAGTTCTTACCCTACACTGTTACTGTCAATGGGAGCTTTAACAACAATTTGCAAGTAATAACCAGTAATTTTTCTGTAAGTGAAATGGAATGTGAACTCTGTTAATGTTCTTCTGACATTGTTTAAAATACAATAAAAATTAATAAATCACTTTTGAAAGTGTTGCTGGAATCTTGCAGTGACCATATGCTACCTGACTCTTTAATATATCATTTCAGTAGGAAATACAGGAAGAATGTCAGTTACTGATGAGATCTGTGGGTCCTATTTCCAGTTATGGAGACCAAAAGCCATGATAGGCACAATAAATCTGTGTGAATCATCTAGTGAGTGATGGAAGTGGATTGCTTGGTGAATGAGAGCCTATAATACAGCAGATCTACACCTCTCATGATTTAAGGCAGGAAGTTGCCTGAACAGTTGTGGCTTCTGTCAGGTTTGTCAGTGTTACATAGTTTTATATGTCTTATATAGAAACTAGAATTAGAATTATTTATATTGTATGTTGTATAGATTTGTCTAGCTCTTTACAGGTAATTAGCAAATTGCCATTTTTCCCATGATAAAAGTCTATTTCTAGTACCCATTGTTTTTGAGGATGAACAAGAAATTGTACTCTTTATTAATAATTCTTTCTTTAGAAAGGTGAATGGTTTCCTGTCCCACTGAAAGCTGCATGTACTTACTGATCTCTTTTCATATTCTAGATAAATAGTTATGAATACCAGAGTCCATAAGCAATCTTCGGCTGTAAGTTAGTAGTTA